TGTATCAATTTATATACTTAATAAAGTTTTGCATCTAATGCCCTTTTACGATGAAAAAAAAAAAAAAAAAAAAAAAAGGGGGTCAATTTTTTTGATACATACTGTATTTCAACTTAAAACTTATTTAACAATTTCAAATCAAATCAGCAGGACTTAAAATTTTAAATTAAATTCAAAATAAAATCCTCAAACCTATATATCAATATATCTGAATCCCAAGAAACAAATATATAATTGAAAAGAAAAAATTCTTAATATTTCACAAAACACTAAACATAGAAAAAATAACAATAACAATAAAAAACCTTACAATATTAACAAAACTCAAATATCAACTCAACAATCAATAACAAATTAATTCAACAAACTAAATCTACCAATATAATACTTAAACTCTTTTCTTAAAATTTGTTCATGCATTTTTAGGATAAAATAAATTATTAAGGAGACATTGGCTTTCCAAAATTAGATAGTTGCTTTTTTTTTCCTTGCTCAAAAGTTTTTTATCAGAAATATATCTAATATAGTAATAGACTGATTGATATGTATTGCAATGTATCTCAATATCTTAATATTAATCATGTAATAAATTTAATTTATTAATAAATATTATAAGAAATATCTTATTTAACAATAAAAAAAATTATAAATATTTATAAAAAAATATAATTGAAAAATTTTTGATAAAATAATGTTATTTTTTTTATTAAATATTTTTCAATAAAAAATATATTCAATAATAGATATATTTTTTAAATACAGTATCTTAATTTAATTGATAAATATTAATAAAAAAATTTTATAGTCTTGTTTATAGAAATACTATTTCAAAATTAATAAATCCAAAAACTCTTAAACAATATAGTATTTTTATAAATTATAAAAAGTATAAAAATAAATTTATTGAATATTTTATAAAAGTTAAAAAAATAATTACTTTCTAAATATCAATTAAATTATAAAAAATCTTGTCTTTTTTTTACTACTTAAAATCTTATACTAAAGATAATTTAAAATAAAATAAAATTAATGTAACCTCCTTTAAGAAATTTTTATAAAGATTATAACAGCCACAATTATAAAAATAAATAGTTATAAATAGTTTTGAGTATATAAAAGACTATACAAGTCTTTATTCAAATATATTACGTATACAAGTATTTAAATACAATAGTAGTATTTTTCTTCTTAATTTATAAAATATATCAAATTAATTTTCTTTAATACTTTAACTATTATTCTAAATATCTAATATTTATTAATTATAAATATTGTTCATGGACAAAAAAATTTTTTTGTTTATGGTAAAAGTGCCTAAACATCGAATTTTATCTTTAAGAATAGTTTGCAATTTCAACTCGTAATTAAAAAAGTAATGAGTTCTCATAACCGTCCGCCTGCGAAACGCTGTAAGCGTTCCTTGACTTCCGATCACCGTCCACCTGCGAAACGCTGTGAGCGTTCCTTAACTTCCCGTGACCGTCCACCTGCGAAACGCTGTGAGCGTTCCTTAACTTCCCGTGACCGTCCACCTGCGAAACGCTGTAAGCGTTCCTTAACTTCCCGTGACCGTCCACCTGTGAAACGCTGTGAGCATTCCTTGACTTCCGATCACCGTCCACCTGCAAAACGCTGTGAGCATTCCTTGACTTCCCGTGACCCTCCGCCTGTGAAACGCTAAGTGCGTTCCTTGACTTCCCGTGACCGTCCGCCTGCGAAACGCTAAGTGCGTTCCTTGACTTCCGACCACCGTCCGCCTGCGAAATGCTAAATGCGTTCCTTGACTTCCGACCACCGTCCGCCTGCGAAACGCTAAGTGCGTTCCTTGACTTCCGATCACCGTCCGCCTGCGAAACGCTAAGTGCGTTCCTTGACTTCCGATCACCGTCCGCCTGCGAAACGCTAAGTGCGTTC